TATCAGTATGCGACAATGTTATGCATGTGTAAGTTAAAACTTTTTTTTAGATTTTTCATTGAATGTCATTCTCAGTATGAGATGAGATAGATTTCAATGACTTTGACATACACAACACAGGTAGCCCAAGTTCTTATGATTTATTCAATCCTTTTAGAGCCATTTTCATCCGTCTGTGAAATAGGAATTGTGCTATTAAATACTATTACCATCTATTAGCTCCCAATGGTTTAACTTATGACATGCAACAAACTAATTAGGCAAACACGGTTTTGATTCTGCCTTTTGGTAGCCTACTACACCCTAATAGTTACTATTAAACACTGACTAGTAGTAATTGTTTCACAGATGGATGAAAATGACTCTAGTATATTAAAGCAGTGTCTTTTTGTTTTCCTTAGGACACTTAGCTGCAGAGAAGCAAGAAGTTTGAGAGTTTCAGCCAATTCTTTCTTTGAGCACCTAATTCTTGTAACTAAAACAATCCAAGAGTTTGGGCCACCTCTTCAGACTTCATGATAGCTGATATTATGAGAAAATAACATTGTAGATAAATACAACTTGTAAATAAATGTTTCATTTATAGATGGGATTAGATTTGACTGAGAGCTAATCTGAGAGCTCAAGCTTTAAACAACACGGTGCATGATGAAATAATTCCTGGTTTTCATGTTGAAGGATGACTGTTGTTAATCATAATTTGCTTTATGTTATTAGCCTGCATATTTATTTATTCTTCCATTGTGCACTTTCCTAATATTTCAAGCTTTTGAATGTACAGCCATTCCATAGTTTAACATAATAGTGATATAATCCATCCCAGGGGTGTATTTCCCTTATATTCGCTAGACGGGTACGTGCCGCCAACCAGGGTATCGTTTTTAGCGATTTTACTCTGGAACAGGGTATCGATTTCAATTATTTTTCTCTGGAACAAGGTCGGGGTTTAATTCTGGTATTATTGATGCTGGGTAAAAATTCACAGGGTAAAAATTCAGTCTACATGCAGGCTAGTGCTGGATTTTACTCTGGAACAGGGTATCGTTTTTCAGTGATTTTACTCTGGAACAGGGTTAGTTTTCAGTGATTTCACTCTGGAACAGGTCAGGGTAATCTACATATAATGCCTTACAAGCCAACTACTCCAAAGTTGCTGGTCTGCGGTGGGATGGTAATGTAATRTCRCAATAAKTCCACATCAWTAACACWAAACCATCTAAAAATCACCTGTTTTGTATGTTTTTCTGTTTGTTTGAATGTGAAARTTACAGAAAGAACGGTTGGGATTCCTGTGGCAAAACTGTTTTTTAAAACATAAAATGTTTTTGGAAAGTTTTGTATCCTCCTGTGTTTTTCAAAATGCTAAAAAGCTAATTTTCATGCCAGTGTACCATAGTATGCTTTAATCCAGTGGGCTCGAGAGACAATTTTTTGGATTGCGTGATGTCTGTGATTGAAACAGCTGTTGGAGAAGGCCTGGTACTAGTTWACAAAAAAGCAATGTAAAAAGCATATTTGATGAACTAGTGAAGATTTTTGCCGTAAATATAGTATTTCCTGTGTAAAACACCCAGTTCTTCTGAAGTAAAAGTTGAAAGGTAAGTGTGCATAACTTTTTTTACAAAATTTATGGCGATATTATAACAGATTATCGGTAAATTCACACTTCGACGAAATTAGCWTGACGATATCATMATGAGCTGATTATAAAAGAGCGTCCAGCCATAGAATTTTGTGGATTAAAAGTTAGAATAATCGCTTTAGGTCGACTTCAATCTGTAAATATCGACATGTATTGAASTATAACTGCTTTAATTCTGGAGTAAGGGTGTTAAAGAGCGGCATAAACACAAATGCCACTCCCAAAAAGCGAGAGTTATTGTAAATTATGCAGGATTATCAGCTGGTACCATCATCAAATGTTGATTTTCTTGTCATGTGTACAAATATCACTCAGGAACATATATTTCAGGTCTTTATGTACAAATAATTGGAAATATGTGTTAAACCATTACTTTTCGTACACCGTTAAATTTCACTTGATTTCAGAGTACTATACTTTTGTATTCAGTGAACATTCCTTTCTCATTCTGCCTGTTGCCATGAAACGCAACTTTTTTCTCGCTTTTTAGATGATCATATGGACATTAGGCCTCAGATAGAATGTTTAGAGTTGACCTTCAATTTTTTTAAAAAAGAGTTCAACATAATTATCTTTATTCATAATATAATGCAGCAATATATTTATTATTATTAATATTATYATTTATTTGTTTTTTTTTTACAGATATTATTATCATGGGTGCAGAGGAGTCTGTCCCAATTCCTGCTCCATCACTGGGGTTTGAGTATTTTGTTGTTGGGCTGTCCAAGGGAACGTATCACAAGATTGTGACAATTCTTGGCACAGATAGAGAACGATCTTTGGTTAGAGAGGCAATTTGTCAACACTGGGGTAATGGCATCGAATCAGAATCRACCAAAGTTGAACAAGCACACTCATTTCGGTTCAATGGGTCTCCTTTTACCAAAGGGATAATAGCCACTCCACAGCTGTCATCCTCTGGAAGAAAAGTGATTGCTCAGATATTTCAAAATCTCAACAACTCAGGCTGGGAATTAAAGATTACCAGTGAATTAAGCCGTGAGACTGATCTCACTACGCTGTACTTTTACCGTAATCCAGAAATACCAAGATCAATTCAAAGTCCATTGATGTGTATTGCTTTGATGAGTACTGACAAACTCCTGCTTGTAAGTGTRCCCGACAACATCCAGACAGTTATCAAAGACGTTATTRTCGGTGATTGGAAAAGAGGCATCCAAGGAGAAGAAAAAGTAGAAGATGGTCTTGAAATCCAATTGTGGGGAAATCCATGGAAGTCTTATGGAGAGGAGACCRTACTGGGAAGACTTGTGCTGACAAAAATCTTCACAGCTCTTGCTCAACAACACTGGCATTTCCATGCTACAGTTAACATGCAGGGCCTGTCAGACAGCTTATTCTTTAGGTATGATCCAGAAGAGATGCCTCAAAACATACAACATTTTATGATCTCTTTCCATGAAGGAGACAAAGTGAGGYTGGTGAATGCTCCTCAACAAGTGATTCCTGTKGTGCAGAAAGCAATTGCCTCTACCTGGACAAAAGGAATCCAAAAGGAAAAGGAACTGTTTGGCAGCTGGGAGTTCAAGATGTCTGGATACCCTTGGTGGGGTCGTGGAAAGGATTATGTAGTGCCTCGGTATGTTGTATGCAAGATCCTAGAAGCTTTGCAGGGCCAAGGTTGGAGTGTTGCAGCTTCAATTGATATTTTTAGAGCAAATCGAGAYAAGACTGTCTTTATGATGTCTCCATCCAATCACACCGACCCCTCACCTGTCATGTGCATGTCATTTTGTGACAAAGACAAAATAAGATTGATAAATGCACCACAAGATATGGTTGATGTCTGCCGAAATGTCTTGACATCAAAATGGCACAAGGGTATCAGTGCAGGAGAAAAGATTAAGTCAACATGTACAGCCTTTGAGTTCAAACTGAATGGACATGCCTGGCATGGTGCAGGAATGCTCAGCCTTCATATTCGCAGTGCTCTATGTTACGTCATCCAAGCATTTGAAGCARAAGGCTGGARGTTCCTGGTGTCTGCTGATGTATGTTCTAGTTATGATGAAAAAGATGGCGAAGAGTATCCTGATGATGTCCATAGTTGGTGGTTCGCACACTCCCAAGATACACAGCAGTAAACACAACATTTACTGGTATTTCCGTGAAAACGTTTTGACATTCGACGTCTTTCACGTTCTTCAGGGCCAACAAAGGAAGGAGATGATTTGGTGATGACATGATTGACAGTTCAGAATTTCCCTTTAGTTATGGAAGAGTTTTTGCATTATTCCAACCAATGAACAAGTATTTCCTTTAATAGACTTGACAATTGTTACTAGCACATGGATGTGTTTTGTTTTTGTTTTAGTATTTATTGATTAAAATAATGTTTGTGTTTACYACTCTTATTAAATTGATTTTTTGGTCGATACAAATGACTTAATACATGTCGTGAGGATGATCATAAGATCCATTGTTTCAGTTTTGCATTGTTTCTGTTTGACCATCTAAGTTTAAGACCTATTATATTTTATTCTATAAATTTGATATTAATTTAATTGTTTCAAAATCCTCTAATTGTAAAACAATCTCCGTTAAACAAACTCTGCCATAAGATGTTAGGTGAATGGCTCAAAGCTAAATAGCTTTAAAAAAAGTAGTAAAAATAGTTATTGTTCTGTAATTAAATTGCAGTGATTATTACAATTATTAAAACTGACATAAAACACAGCTAGTTTTATTTCTTCCYAAATAGAAACGAAAGAGTTTTCGTTTCGTACSCACRTTAACCAATGTCATGCGTTATCCAAGAAATTAAGCAGTCAGATTGCGATATCCAAGAGTGTTTCTTGCTTTCATTCACTTTCCATTCATCCAAAATAGGGGATTCATTACTCTGGTTAGACATTGTCCCGAAGCTCCATAATTGAACCCAATACAGTGCTTTACCAGGGATGGCTCGGTGTGAAGGCCAATCAGACCAGCGCATAGTATCCCAAACGATTCCCAAAGACTGGTTGTGATGAGAAGTAACTCARCATGTTGTGAATTGGTATCTTTGGCGATCTGGTGGTAGGAAATCATGGAGGTTACACCCAATGCCATTCCTTGTAATACACATATTGTGAACACCGCCCAGATATCGGAAATGAAGCGAAACCATGACGCAAAGAAAAGAAGGAACGTGAAGAATATTGAAAGGATCACCCCGATTGCTTGTACAGGCGTAGCACGGATGTCAGGCTTTTTGGCCAATAGGAGTGCCATGGCAGATCTTCCAAAGAACTGGCCGATGAYTGAGCTTAAGATGTAGTGCTGGTAGTCCTCGCGAGAGTATAATTCCTTTACGTGTTGGAAAGCAAGCGTGGTCAAAATAGCCCCAAGTGAGAGAAACACTGAGAAATTTGATACGAAAAGAAGTGAAAGKACATCTAGGGCTTTCCACACTCCAAGGAAMTGCCTGATACACAARCTTCTTGGACGTCGGGTTGGCGTTCTTGGTTCGCTTGTGAACCTGTCACCCATATGTTTCAAACATTCCATATGGAAAACAGCAAACGCCAGAAGGTACAAAGTGGGCCACAGAAGAGGGATGAGTAATGACACGCGGGGATTGACGTCACTCCAGCAAGTCATGGCTGCAAAAGAAAGTATACTGGTTGTGAGCATAGTTTGTAGAGTGCGTCGACACAAATAACAAGTACAAATTGTGCAAGAAGAATGATGGTGATGATATCTGCATCATTGACAGATTGCAATGATCATGATGATCCGTGATCAAGAAACATCGTGATCTCACGAGATGAACGCAATAAACCGCGATGACAATAAAAACCCGCCTTTTTCTACAGTGCGCATATTTATGATGAATTCATGGTCTTTCTTTTGACAAATCTTTGAAGCGATAATAAAATAATATTTGTGTATAACTGACTATAATATTAGACTTACCAACATAGAAAAGAGTACTAAGTAGTCCACCTGCGGCAGTACCAGCAATGTAAGAGGTGAGRGCTGACTTGTGCAGTTTTTGGGTTGATATGCAAAGCATRTGGACTTCTCCAATCGCCATGCCAAGTGATGCRAAGCACACACCCACATAACGGAGGTTGTAGCTAGTYTGAGACATAGCAACACAYAGTAAACCTACCACGACCATCATGTACATCAACAGACATCTTGTCACGATAGACGTTTTGTACAATCCTTGGAAAATCAAGAAAAATACTTTGACTGCACAAGAGGGTGCTGATGCAGCGATGAACACAAGTCCAGTRGCCATTGTGCTACCTGATAACATGTCTTCAGCTGAACAAACAAAAACCATGAACGGTGCAGCAAGAAATGCCCCAAGTGTAAACGAGCAGACATCAATAAACGGTTCGGGTGGCTTGCTTGATTTCTTCATTGACAAATTACTTTTAAATCGCAAGGGTTTGTAYTCTTCTTCTGAATCTGACATTTCCCTTTCGCTAGAAAGTTCGTCATCCATCAYGTGCTTTGGTTTCTCAAATCTGAGCAACTTGAGGGCAAAAGTTTGTTAAAGTTTGTTAAGTTTTCATATGTATGATAATCTACAACAGCGCGTCACAACGAAGTTTGTAGCCGTTGGGGACGCACTTGTAATGAAGTCAAAAACAACTGAAGCACATAAAGAAGCTCTTTAAGATCATATCATTGTCTTTGATCACAATGTGTGACCTTATTATTGACTTGATAATTAATCTTAAAATGCTTTCCATCTTGTACATTTTTGAAAGGAATAATAGTGTAAAAGGTAATAATGTCATATTGGTTGGCTTATTACTTTCAATGTAAGGAAAGACATTACAGTTAGTGACTTCAAACATAGTTAATAGAGGGAGATCTATTAACTATGCTTCAAATYATACAAGCATGGCTTATGATGGAGAAAGCCTGAATACTAATTTTCTCATGATTGCTCACTGGTCCATAACCATATCAAGTTAATATTAAGATGTTTTATTGCAGCACACGCAGCTTTCACAGTTTAGATCATGGTCATTAAAAATAACATATCGTCAATACTATTAAGGAGGCCATTATTAATTAAATTATCTACTTGTGCCACTGACTTAAGGTTAATTAATTCAATTTTGTTGAAATATAACACAAGTTACTAGTTGCTTGTGTTATTTGCTAACCATCCCTGAAACTATTTTTCATAGTTCTAGGTAGCTCTAGGAATCTAGTTGACAATAAGATAWGCCTTATCATGAGGTATAATTCTAAATCCAGCGAATACTATTACAAATTTCCAATATATTTGAATGACTATTAAGCTTCAGGTCCCTCTCAAAGAAATTCCTTTTGTGGAATTTTTGTATACTTATTGTCTTCACAGTATGATATGAAAATCATTAATGTGGGTAAGATACGGATAGATACCTATTTTATACTTGACCACATAGAATATGATATTGCATGTCATATGATGAGTAAAACAACAAAACATCCACGTATATAAATGCATTAAGGAAATTATCAATTAACTAACAATTCACTCGGCCATAAACAAAACAGAGAAGCACTGTGTTGTATGTTCTGCTTCAAAGATCTGATAATTAGTTTTGTACTTAATGCATATTAGTTTTGTTTAACAGACATGTACTCTATTGATTATTTTTTTAAGTGTACAAAATACTCTCTTTTAAGGATTAGGTATTAATATATATTGACTATCATGATGGAACTTTGTGTATTGCGACTGTTACTTTGTCTTGTGTTCTTATAAGCAAATTACTGAAACAAAAAAGACAAAAAATTAATACAAATATTAAGGATAACTTTCATATCTAATCAAGAACATTCTATTGACCACTGTTCGCTGTAATGGCAAAATAGTTACATGTAATTGACCATCTTAGTTTGCGATATTCTTACCAGGCATCAGATTCCAGGCAAATGACTGGTTGTGGTTCAATTTCTGGATAAAGCTTTTTGGCACATTCTGCTAAATTCAATACTGGACCAGAGTGTATAGGATTTGCTGTTCCCTTAGCTGCAGAGAGATTAGTAGCTCATGTTAGCTGATGGTTACCTCTAAGCTTTTGGTATAAGGGGGAGGGGGTCKTAAGGGGGTAGTATTAGCAAGAATCAGGTGTCTTAGCTTAAATAATACATTATCTTGCTAATTGATCTCATGAATATCAAAAATAAGCCTTTTTAGTCAATACATATTGCTTGTATTTGAATATTTACCAGTTAATGCAAGACCCTGGTTGTCAACACACAACACACCAATCACACCATGTTCAGTCATCCTGCAATAAAAAAATATAGGATCAAATCAATACATTAACAGGATAAACTATAAAAGAAGATTGACACAACACCTACAAGTCATCAACGTGCGATTCTATGGCTTTTTCCATGTCTATTTTGCAACAAATGTCTCCGCAGTCAAACACACAGTCTTGTGACTTCCTGTTCTCATTTGCTCTTCCGCTGAGCTTTAGATTGCAGGCGCCAATAGCCGCAATGCATTGTTAGTGACGAGAAAGGCGCGAACATTGAATGACAGTCAACCTGGAAACTTCACTTCATGTAAATAAGGTATTTTTAGTGAAGAAAAGGGTAGAATCCCTGTAGTACTAAAGTAACAACTGTCTGAGGTTATGGCTCGACATTTGGTACAGCAAAATGGTATAATTTKGTATAATTTTTGCRAAACATCCCGAAAATTGTAGAGCTTGTTTATAAACATGCGTAACACGTGAGAGGTGTTTGGTCAAACTTTGAACACACAAAAAACCTTGTTTCTTGTGAGAAACTCATTACCAAATGTAGGCTGGAGTTTTAAACTCTGTTTGTGACAATTTAAGTTACTTTGTAACCTGCAAAAGCTCGAATATTTGTTTTTATGAAAATATGTAAGCTTAACACTATGTATGATAACGCGACATCACACGCGCGCTCTCAAGTTCCCATTTAATTTATCTCTAAATTCAAACATTTTTTCTTAGGTTAAAATGTAAGGAAACATTCACTGGCTGTGCGAGAACATGGCTTCCCAAGCTGCTACTATAATTATTGATAGTGGTGAAGAGAGTGACGAAGTTGTCAGGATAACGCGGAARAAATCTCCATCAAGCAAGGATAAAACTTCAGTTGTGTTTGTCCCTGATGGCGATTATGAAGGCGAAGTCATCTTTGTTGAACCAGAAGATTACTCTCCCAAAAAGAAAATAAGACTAGAAGAGGAGAGAAGAACTTCAGAGTTAAACTCTGATGAGCAGATCACCTCAGATTTAGCTGTGACATTTGATCGCAAAGGAGTTGAATTTCCACATGCCAGGGAACATTGTAGATCTCATAGTTTTGAACGGATTCCGGTTGGTTCATCAAWGCCAGCAAGTGGATCCAACAATGAAAAATATTGTGAGAAATGCTACTGTTTTGTCTGCGATGAGTTATCCAGTAAGGTAATATTTCAGTTAGTGTTTTATGTTTTAGTTTGCTTTTATATAAATATTGTTTCATATCTCTGTGCACCCATGTTATATCCTATATATTGAGTTTACCAAAAAGCACTGCTATCAAATGTATTAACAGCAGTTTTTTTCTGTAATCTTCTATTTTATACAGCTCTGGCTTTAATATTGTCATTTAGCACTTTTTTAGTTTTTTTTTATGAAGTTTTCTCTATATATACATGTAGCTTTATGTCTTTTATGTTTAAAAGTGTGAAAAATGGAAAGCTGGTGCGCATCCCCATTGCAATAGCTATGCCAAAAATGCCTATTGGGAGAGGCAAAGAAAATTGCATAAACTTGATAACAAGGTAAAATTATTAATTGTGTTGTACACTAAGCATAAACCAGTACAAAATAGACTTATTGCTGATGTACTTCTAACTATTGCAATAACAACTTACAATCATTTCTTGCCTGCAGGAATCCCACTTTGAACCAATCTTGTCATGTGTTGACATACCATTTGAAAATGTCTTTCATGAATTGAAGAGGGCAGGTAATATTCATGATTTTTTTTGGGTCCAGTAGCCAAGTCAATGATGTGCTGATTGGCTAGTGCAGTCCAGTATTTTACTATCTGCCCGGTCCATAGTATCCTGTAGCTACAATGTAGGTTGCGAGCAAAGTTKCAGAGAATWCAAATAAAAATGTTATTGACTGGCTATAGGTTGGTCCGTTTAGCAAAAGACTGCCCTCTGTCTTTTATATACAGACCTGGCTGCACTCAGTCTGTACTGTCAAGTCCTCAGGCAGCATTTTCCTATACGGACTTCCCAGCAAGTAACTAACATATGTAAATAATTGATGATACAGACTACTTAACAATTAGACCTCGAGGTCGAGTGGACTAATAGCTAATAGCCCATGAGGCCGAGTTCGCGAGGCCGAATGGGCTATTAGCTCGTAGTCCACGAGGCCAAGAGGTCTAATTGTTTTAGTATGAACATACTAATCGGTCAAATAATGAAAACAAATTGGAATATCCTTAAAATAATTTATAATTCTATTAAACTTTTCTCTATTATTTTGGAGCAGAGATTTCATCAAGGGATTTCTACCATTCTATTGAAGAAATCAAGCAATCTATTAATGGTGCTCCTCCAGTAGAGCGTGAGTGTACTTGTGCATGTCATTCTTGGGGCAGCAGAGGTGATAACTGTGCATGCTTATGGACTCATCCATTTAATATATCACAACAGAGCTTTGGAAGATATTCTGTAGCGAGGTAAGATGGATAGAGTGTACTAGTAGTATGGTGTAACATATATGGCTCTGATGTTAGATGATTCAGAAGGTCTCTCATGTACACTGAGAAGCTTCCTTAGATATGTGTTCAGTTCTATACAATAGTTATTCACAAAATGTCATTTTAATAGCAAAAATACAGAAAAGTACCTGTTCTTATAAAGCAATGGTTAAGAGATTTCAGGATCTATTGGATTGAGTCCTATATTAAATCATGTATTTGTAGTGTGCATATGTTCATCCATATATACAACATGTAGAAGTCCTGCAACAGGTCTCTCTCACAGGTTCAGAGTTATACATTCATGTTTTTTTTTCTTTCAGAAAAGTTGAATCAATACTAAGCAACAAATGCTCTAAAGCAGCTGATATGGCATCAAARCATCTAAAATGTACCAATGSTAAACCATCATCAGCCATTGTTGTCCTYGATAGTATTACAACAGGATTATTTGCTCTTGATTCATGTGTTAYTTGGAGTGTAAGACCAGACACTAGGTCAATGTTTACTCCTCTCATTCCACTTTGGTTGGAAGCWTGTATGCATCCTAAAGCTGAGAAAAGTCTGGTTGATATGGCAAAGAAAAGAGTTGAAAAAGCTGCAAAATTTGGTGACTCCAAATTATTCTTGTATCATGCTAAAACACTCAACAGGTATTGTTTGGCTAATGAAATATTGAAATTTAAATTGCATCAAAACAAAGACAAAGAAATAATGAATGATTAGATTACAATTGCTGTTTTTTTCATTAGATTGCTGAACGACTTAAAGCCAATGGATGATCCTGCCATAGCAAAGTACTTACAGGGACAATATGGCCTGGAAGAAAATATAGAGATTGCCGAAGCCAGAGTCGCATATCTCAAAACAAACAAGCTGTAAGAACTTAATGTCTGCTTTAGATTTGTTCATCATATTCGCTCATAGACTTAATTGAAAACACTAGAATATCACTTAATTTAGTTGTATTATAATTGTTATTTAATGCCTCCTCATCATGCAACATTCACTAAAAGGAGAGTTAACTAACCATAATGTATTTTGATATTMAGATTCATCGAGGCTGTCCATTACATTCTATGTATAAAGGTGACAAGTTCATCAAATGGTTCTCAGTTAGTTCATCCTTGTCCCCCTACAAAATGGTGTGATAAACCTAGTACACGACTAGAGCTTATTGACCTGCTCATCATCATTGGCAAATACAAGGAGGCTAAGAATGTCAGCCTTTGGCCTCTGAGAATACCTTTACCAAGCAGTCTCACCATGCTGATTCCTTATGAAGGTAACCACATATAATTATGTAATTGCAAGAGTTGCTTTTAAGTACTATTTGTGAATGCAGTGCCTGGCAAAAATGACCAGAATGGAACTTTGAATGAATACAAAATGTAAGATCTTACTTACTAAGACATATTAAACTAAGAAAAAAGACACACACAGAGAGAAGAGTTTTCATAACAAAAGCCCAATATTGATGTTTTTGTMGAATGGTCATACACAAAAAGAGTTATGAGGCTAATGATGTCTGATATTTTTTTTCAGCAGCTTTTTTTACTGATATTACTGATATTTTATCTTTTTAAGCTGGGAAGGACAAGACATATTCGTACCATTCTTGTGCCATTGCCTCTCTGAAAACCAGCAGCTTCAAGAGTTTGATAACTGGTTTATTGTATGACAGAAACTCCTGCAGTAACAAAGAACAGTCCAACAAGAAGCTGTTAGAAGTTGTTTGTCTTGTATTGCCATTATTATTTTTGAAAAACAACTCATTGGTAAGGACATTGTTTTCAACTCCTATCTTATCATAGAATACATTAATGTCAAAGTTGTGTTTATCCAGGACTGTTTCCAGTTCTACTTTGAGAAGTTTTTTAGTGATGGTGTCTCCAGGATCTTTAAATATGCCACATTAGAAGTTATCCAGGTAAATTTGGGTTAATTCGTGTATCGGTTAAGCTCTGCGCTTTATACTTTGATTTTATAGCTTTTGAGAGCATCTTTTTGATTCATAAAAATTTGACCCAAGTGTGTTTAAAAATTGGCAAAAGTTCTTGTTTTCTTTGAATTGTGGTGTACAAGATGTAAT